CTGGTCTAAAAAATCCCCCGTGGACATTCACCAGATCTACACTCGACTGTCCTGGGTGAAAGAGGAACAAAACCCATCTGGGTCTTCACAGTCTAAGCTGGCTCATTACACAGACGTGTTTACTGCAAACAAGAACGGTGTTTTACCGAAGAGGATATTAGTACAAGGGCAGACGGGTATTGGGAAGAGCACTTTCGTCAAGAAACTGGCGGTGGACTGGGCTGAACTTGATGACAAGATCACGGGAGACACAAAGAATGATGCATTGACCAGGTTTGAAGATGGTAGAGACGAACATGTAAGTGAAGATAAAGAAGCAACATTTCAAGATAACAAAGACCCCTCAAGATCACGTGGCAAGCATGAAGACATGAGCGAAACCCAGAGAGAATCCTTGAAGAAGTTCGAGCTTGTTCTTGTCATTAATCTCAAAGAGGTATCCAAATGCAGTAGCCTCAGAGAAATCGTCCGTTCCTGCAGTATTTTTCCCGAGGAAGAAACAGCCCTTGTTGATGACCTGCTAAGTTACATCACCAAAAACCAAGAGAAAGTACTGCTGGTGTTTGATGGCTACGACGAGTATCGCTGCGGAAGCAACTCTGAAATATATGAAATATTCAGAGGGAAGAAACTGAGAAACTGTTGTGTCCTGATAACAACTCGAATTTCCAAAGCTGACGACCTACGAGAATTCAAAGACGTGCATGCTGAGATCACTGGGTTTAGTAAAGAGGACAGAGTTGACTTTATGATCAAAGTGCTTGGTGGCAAAGCAGAAGCAGAAGAGCTGAGGCTTCATCTGTCACGGAAGAAGCTAACAGACCTAACAAGCGTTCCATTACTTCTACTTTTTTTCTGCACTCTGTGGAAAAAAGGAAAGTTGAAGAGCTTTCCAGAAAACAAAACGAAACTGTATTTAGGAATTGTTCAATACGTTTTGGATTACAATCAAGGGAAAGACTCTCCTGCTCGCTTTGGCAAAGTACACGATTTCAAAGAGGTCCTTGCTGAAATTGGAAAAGTGGCGTTGGAATGTCTTTTGAAGGACGATCATGTGTTCGAGTATGATCAATTGTCTGATGCCATCCGTTGTGATGAAAGTCTTATCATTGGCTTACTTCAAGTTACCGAGCACGCAGAAAATCTTCGACCAGCAGGGATGGTATCCTTTATCCACAAGAGCATTCAAGAATTTCTAGCAGCCTTATTCATCGCTTACAAATGTGTCTCTGAAGGAAATCTCGGCGGAATTGAACAGCACGCACGCACCTTGGAGGATTGTAAGGCCTTCGAGAATGTTTTCCAGTTCGTTTGTGGTTTGTCTGACGAAGGAGCAGTGAAAATTCTTGAACACTTGAAGTCAGTCAGAATCTCTGACCCAACACTGGATTTATCAAAGACGATACCGGACGTAGAAACCGAGACTGGCGTGCCTCTATTTGACGTCACTGGTAGGCCTGAGAGATTCAATAACTTGGTTTATGATTCCTTTCGAGAGGTTAAATCCAACGCTGAACTCTTAAGTCATTTTTTGGATTGCATTGGTGGAGTCATCCCTGTCACCAGAAATAGGCCGCTTTCTGAACTTATGGAAAGTGTAAACGTCTTGACTAAACTAGCACGGGATTGTGTCTTTTACCTTCCTTTCATTTCCCTTGATGAAGACGGTGAATACACAGCATTGTACAAATCGCTTGAGTTTCTCAACTGTTTGCAGTTGCCGTTAAGAATAACTGAGGGTTCTGAAGTTCTCACATTTGAAGACTTCATAAGAAAGTTCAGGCTGAATAGACTTGGACGCTTACGCTGCTTTTTCAGTTTCATCCTTTGTTTCCGTAATGGTCAGTTTCAGTGTTACATTACCGAGTTGTATCTGCAATGTGATGACCATGCCAGACTATTTACGGAATCTAATGCCATTGCTGTTTCATCTGCTACCTCAAGTTTGTGTTCAGAACAATCCTGTCTGAAATTCTTAAGTTCTCTGCGTTGGTACAAGCTAAGCGCACAAACAGTGAAAGCTCTTGGTGCAGTCATCCGGAATTGTAAGCATTTAAGTAGAATTGAAGTTATGGAGGTTGATGACTCCATATGTTATCTATTCGAACAAGTGCGAAACCCCAGTAAGTGCTCTCTGACGATTGACGCTTCCAATAGAAGTCCTGATGTCAGTATTGACCTTACATCAACTGTAGCAGTGCAGCTTGCAAGTTTGTTACCAAGATTTAACAACGTCATAGCTCTTAACCTTGACCTGAGTCACTGCGATGCTGCAGCATTGAACACATTGGTTACTAGTATCACACATAAGACTCTGGAGAAATTGATACGTAGTGGAACAAGCTTGACTCCAGCAGAAGCCGCGGCACTCGGTCGGTCACTTCCTGAAATGTCGTCCCTACAAGTACTGGAGTTGACTGGTGTGGATGGAAGCATTTTGCAAGCTGAGGAAATGGAGGCGTTGTTTGGCGGATTTAACAAGATGCTGCCTTTGGTCAGGTTAGCATTCAGAAATTTTAGCTCGAGGGGTTGTCTCGCTGCGCTCTGCAAAAGCTTTCGCTTCTTCTCCAATTTGAAAGAGCTAAACCTTGAAAAGTTGGATATGAATGAACACGACCAGTGTAGTCTGGTGGAGAGCCTTAGATTCCTTTGTGGTCTGACGGCACTGAATATACAGGAGACTGATCAACAGGGTTACGCGCATTGCTACACAACAAAATCAAACACGCGCGGGATTCAAGCGACACTAAATCTGGAGGGAGTGAAACTGACTCCAGCAGTAGCTATGGCACTCGGTCGTTCACTTCCTGAAATGTCGTCCTTGCTAGAACTAAGGTTAACTGGTGTAGATGGAAGCATTTTACAAGCTGAGGAAATGGTGGCGCTGTTTGGGAGACTGTACAAACTGTTGCCGTTGCGCGAGTTTGTTTTCAAGGGTTACTGCCTAAGAAGTTGTATTTCTCCGCTCAACAACATCTTCCACTTTTTTCCCAATGTTAGAAGGTTAGAGCTTGAAAAGTTAAACATGGATGAAGATGAACAGTGTAGTCTGCTGGAGAGTTTAAGATTAATTCCCGATGTAACATCACTGAGTGTGCAGAGCAAACCACTGGTCCACGGAAGTTGCTGCGCAGCGAAATTGACGTTAACCTCCGACTTTTTTCCGCTCGGCGTGACTTCCAAGAGTTTGGACCTGAACGGAATAAGCTTGACTTCAAAAACTTCACAGTCACTTGGTCGATTACTTCCTCAAATGTTGTCCTTAACAACACTCGAGTTTACAGGGGAAGGGGCCAAGAGCATTTTGCATGCGAAGGAAATAAAGGCCTTGTTTGGCGGTTTCAGCAGAATATTGCCTTTGCGCCGTCTTGTTTTCGGTCGTTTTGACCTGAGGGGTAGTGTCGCTCCAATTACCAATAGTTTCTGTTTCTTTCCCAGTTTGGTATGGTTGGATCTTCTGGATTACAATATGGATGAACATGACTTGTGTGGCTTGCTGGAGAGCTTACGATTCCTTCCTAATCTAATGGAACTGACAATACTTGGCAGAGAATCTGGTCAAGCATCTTGTTGTAAAGTAGAAGCAAACAATGTCTGTGGATTCACACATGAGGCTCTCAGGGAATTGCTACTAATTGGAATAAACCTGACTCCAAGAGTAGCCGCAGTGCTCGGACGGATACTCCCTGAGATGTCGTCCCTACAAGATCTCCGTTTACGTGGGACTCGCGGAAATATTTTGCAAGCTGAAGAAATGACCGCGCTTTTTGGCAAATTCAACAAAACGTTGCCTTTAAAGTTTCTTACTTTCAGTGACTTTAGTGTGAGAGGTTGCCTGGCTCCACTCACTGAAAGCTTTCGCTTTTTCCCCAATTTGGAAGAGTTGTCTCTTGGAGGGTACACAGGAGAGTTGAACCTGGATGAATATAACTTGTGTGCTTTGTTGCAGAACTTGAGTTTCATTCCTAATCTCAAGACATTGAGCGTAAAGGGTCAAACAGTGGGTGACGCGCATTGCTGCACAGCGGAAGTAAACACAATGGCTAGTTTCATCCACAAGACTCTCGAGCAACTCCAGCTGGATAAAATAAGCTTGACTTCAGTATCAGCCGCACTGCTCGGTCGTTTGCTACCTGGAATGTCATCACTACAAGTTCTGGAGCTATCTGGTGTGGAGGGAAGCATTTTGCAAGCTGAAAAAATGGAGGCTTTGTTTGGGGGATTTAACAAAACCTTACCATTACACAGGCTTACGTTCAGAAATTTTAGCTCGAGGGGTTCTCTTGCTATACTCTGCAAAAACTTTCACTTCTTCCCGAATTTGAAAGAGTTAGAGCTTGACGGGTTAAACATGAATGAGCATGACCAGTGTAGTCTGCTGGAGAGCTTGAGATTTATGCTTAGTTTGAGGGCGCTGAGTATACAGAGTACACGTCAGGAACAGGAACACGTCCACTGCCATCCAAAAGAATTTAACACATTCCGTAGTTTCGCATCGGAGGCTCATAAAGGACTTCACGTTAATGGAATAAGCCTCACTCCAGCAGTCGCCGCCGCACTCGGTCGGTCGCTTCCTGAAATGCCGTCCCTGCACGTTCTCCAATTAATGGGGGTGAAAGGAAGCATTTTGCAAGCTGAGCAAATGGAGTCGCTGTTTGGTAGATTTAACAACACAATGCATTTGTGCGAGCTTACTTTCAGTGGTTTCAGCGTGAGAGGCTGTCTTTCTCCACTCATCAAAAGCCTCCACTTCTTCCCCAGTTTGAGAGAGTTGAAGCTTGAAAGGTTAGACATGGATGAACATGACCAGTGTGGTCTATTGACCAGCTTTGGATTCATTCGTAATCTGACGGAACTAAGCGTGCGCGAAAGTGGAGAGGAATGCCTGAGTTTATTTTATAGAAATACCACAGAAGAACCAAAGCGCAGGATCCTGGGACTGGATGGAATAAGCCTGACTCCACCAGTAACCACACTTCTCGGACGGTTACTTCCTGAAATGTCGTCCTTGCAAATACTTGGGGTAACTGGGGTGCATCGAAGAATTTTTAAAACTGAGGAAATGGAAGCGTTGTTTGGCGGATTTTACCAAACGTTGCCTTTGCATGAGCTTACTTTGAGAAGTTTAAGCGTAAGAGGTTGTCTTGCTCCACTCTTCAGAAACCTCCATTTCTTCCCCAACTTGATAGATTTACGTCTTGCAATGTTAAACATGGATGAACATGACTTAAATGGTCTGCTGGATAGCTTTCAGTTCATTCCTAATCTAGGGGAGCTTAACTTGTCAGGTAATCCTCTCGGTCACGCAGTGACATCTATCGTGCCACACGTCATCAACCTGAAGAGGCTTCAGTATCTTTGGATTCTCAACACTGGTCATTCTGAGGAAGATCTGATTTACGTTCGAGAAACCGTCCAGCAAGCACTACCAGAACTCAAAATTAACAGGGACTAGGAATTCTTCCATTTTGAAGATCTAGGTTTTCTAGATTAATGGTGTAATCCGAGTTAATTGGACTGTTTTTCTTTGCGATCCTTGAGCACCTCCATGCGGTAATAATTTTCATAGCAGCTTTTCCAAATTTAAATTTTAGCTAAAGACAAGAAAGCGGCTTTCATTAGTAAGCTTATGCTAGTTTTGTTGTTTGTTTAAAATAGGCGAGGTATTTAGATTCCTCTCAGAAACAGATGTTTCCGTAAAGGGGCAAAGTCTCAGCTGATATACGATAAGATTTCCACTACTGAGACGGTAGGTTTTTCCGCTGGGAACCGTATTTCAGTTGAACGGACACTTGAACTGCACTGAGCGGGGAACTTCTCTAAATTCAGAGAAAATTGACTCAGAAAATCACCACTTTGCTTGTGGAAACGATCTACTTCACTAGAGGCTTCTAAGGACGTCAAGGATGAGAAAGGACTCGGTCCCAACAGTAGCTAAGAGTAGTTTATTCAAACTTCGTGTCCATTTGTCAGTCTATAAATCAAGGCAATACAAAATCGACGAATAATTATAGATGCACGACTCGAGCAAAATTAGAAACAAATTTCAGTTTGAATAAAATGAGAGCGGAGGAAACAAAGCTCTCAATGTGTTGTCAAACTGAAACTACTTCTGTTGGTTTTTGAAAATGTTAATTTAATATGGTGAAAGGCCACATCCACACTACGCCAGAGAATTTGAAAACGCATCTTTATTTCTACGGTTAGGCCTACCGTCCACACAAATCCGTCACGGAAACGCTCTTCAAAATGGAAGGGAAACAGTTTGAAAACGAGTCTTTTCCAAAACGATGACGTGACACTAATCATGCAAGTTCCCTGCCCAAGTTTTCCTCAAACAGAAATTCACAAGGACAGGTGATTGTCGCGTTTTTAAATTTCTCCGGCGTAGTGTGGACGAAGCCTGAGAATAGGTAATTCCTGGTTTAACAACATTTCGCTGTAATAGATATGGCCGGAAGCTTGAGCTCAACTTGCTTAATATCTGCAGTGGGAACCAAAAAAAAACTAAAGTGTGAAAGTAGAGAATTTTTTAAACTTCAAGTGTGATGTTGTTTTTTGTTTTATTCAAACTGAGATTGCGAATTTTACCAGATTGGCAGTTTGATTCCTTGACATCCTGTCACAAAATCAAAATCCACTTCCATCCTTGTAATGCTGAAGTTCCTCGCCAAAATACTGGTTTTACTTTTTCCGTGGTAGAACCTTTTTATTCAATTTATTTGTATAATTGGTGGCATTTGGCAATATAATATTAGGAAAGATAACTTTCGATAATTAGCCAGGACACTGTGCCTTTAACTCAAACTCCCTGGTGAGCGCTATGGATAAATTGTTTATCATTCCTTATAGAAGAAAGTCGTTGGAAGTCGTGAATAAGAAACATTAGAACTGGCTGGTGCTACTGCAAGAGCACGGTCAGTTTAGTCTAGGACTTGACGCGCACATTGTACTGAATATTGTGCTGAATTCGGACGGGAAAATGCTTGCCGCTTATCAGTGTTTGTCTGCGAGCTGTAACATTTTATAATTCGCGAAAAGCTTAATCGTTTTTCGGAACTTATTTTTGTCAAGCTCTGTTGATTCCTTTGGCCTGTTTAGAATGGAAAATGTGATTAGCACTTACAATGTTTACTTTTACGGATTGTTCGAGGACAGAAAATCAGAAATCTAACATATTAAACTGCATTTTTTCCTTACCTCGCAGAAATGAAAGGTTGAACGGCAAAAATTGTCTCCGATTTTGTTTCGTTCTCCACTTACAGAACCTTAAATCAACCTAACGCACAAATCCGGGAAAAATTCAAAATTATCTTCAATTCACAACAGTTAATATAATACTGTCACTTTGGTGTATAAACGGCTGGTAAATAAGGCAGCGTTCACACTACGCTGGAAAAATTTGAAAACGCAGCTTTATTTCTACGGTTTGGCCTACCGTCCACACTAATCCGTCACGAAAACGGGGTTTTTCGAAAACGCTCTTCAAACTGGAGGAATTTGAAAGCGCAAGCTTTTTGTTTATGTGTGAATGTAAAACATTTTGAAAACGTAACTTTTCAACAACGATGTAGTCTTGATAATCACGTGATTTCCCTGCCCAAGTTTCCTCAAACACAAATCCAACATGACCGGTGATGTATTTTCAAGTTCCTCCGGCGTAGTGTGGACGGAAAACATTTGATTCCTTTTTAAGGGTGAAACCTCCGTTTTTAACTTCCCCCGCGTAATGTGGATGGGCGGGGCCTAAGGAAGGGCCGTTTGCCGTTTGCCATACCTGTCTATTATCAGCCAACCTTTTCCCATCAACAGACATATCGGCAGCTCCTCTCTCCATTCTTCACCCGTCCCCAGGCTAGCTTGACTAGCTTTTGTCAAGCGATAATAGGGAGCTTAAGCAAACCATCACGACGGCAACGAAAACGTCACCAAACAAAAGGTTTAAGATAGCTGTGCACGTGCGTTATAAATCTTTGTATATTTCTTTGCCGTCTCTGCAAAATAACAACGTGAAATGACCAAGTTCTGCGTCGTCTACTGAACGTGGACGACGACGGCTAATGTGTCGTATTTCCATTTGGAACTGAACGCTGTCACTGCATATTTAGCCTGAACGCGTTTTTAGAGCCATTGGCGTACCGAACAGATCTAGACAATCGCGAATTTCGCTAGCAAAATATAAATTCATTTTTTACTAGGCGTCGTTCTCGGCGTCGTCGTCGTCGTTGCTTAAGCTCCCTAATATATCGTTGTGCAAAGGGATTG